TTTTCAGATAAGCCACAGTATCCACAGTCTTAGGCTGTACAGATGTAATACTATTACGATAACTGAGTGGGAGAGGAGTCCACTGTGGTGGGACATTGAGAAAGATAACAGCGGATGAATTAAAGTTAGCTAAAGCACTTTCAGAAAGACATCTACTGTAATGAAATGGATTCCCCACTGCTTTGTATTATTGTAAGTGCAAATGTTATTAAGAAATGATCAGACAAGAGAGGGTTTTCAGGGAATACTGTATACATACTCCATATGTAAGAACATGATCCAAAATGTGATCAATGGAGCTACAAATTGCTAATAGGAAAAGCCTTCATTCTAAATGGAACAAACAACATACTGACAAGTGTTTATCTTTTCCGAAGTATTCTGCCAACGCATAGCAGCAGTATGATTCAGCATGCTGTTTTTCCTTTGAGAGAGATGCCCATCGGGCTACAATACAGGTACAGACACATTTATGTTGGTTCACTGCAGCACAACCATATGAATCTCTCTTACTATCACTTGATCTTTAATGCTTAGATTTGTCCAGTTCAGCAACTATACTCAGTCTACCAATCAAGTCTTTGATTTAATCTCAGTTACAGATTAAGGTCGTCTTTGATGCTTTGACTAATTTGTTTACAGCATTGCCAGCTGGATATCACTGCACAAGCCACAATAAAAAAGAAAAACATTATTTAATTTATTAACTGACACTTAAAGGCAGCTGAATTATTACCAGTTTCCTCTACTCAAGTTATAGTCCGCTTGCATCACTTGAGCCTTCAATGCTCTGGTACAATTCTACATGAGCTGAAGACACAAAGGAAAACCGACAGCAACTCTTTGGGTCTGGACTGATGTAAAATTCGGACTGGGAATTTTACGTTACACTCCAGTATTTCGATTCCCAGTTTTATTTATATTGTGCCAAATCACAACAACAGTTGCCTCAAGAGACAGTATTTACAGTTAGAAAAGGTTTGTACACATCCTGACATGCTGGCATAGAGCTACCGTATCAGGACATTTTGACCATCATTAGGTAATGTGACTGCCTAAATTTGTATCATAAAAACTTGTAGATATACTGTAACCTTATTACTATATTATCACAAAAACCATCTCACATTCAGATCCAGTAGATAACAATAGAATGTGTATCACTGCTAACCAGCTAATGACTCGTCTTCTATTGCGACACTGACACGGTTGACTAGGTTACTCTTGCAGCAGCCCTTGATATCTTTCAGCTATTCAAGCAGACAGTCTCTTGTCAAGTAGCCCAATGAAGACCAAATTCACTTGGTCTGAACTGAAACTGGGGACAGTCGTCTTTGTTTTGCCCTGGAGATCAGCTTTGAACCAGAGGGTCACTCTAACCAAACCCCACAGCAGGTGGAGAATTAAATCATGTGTCTCTGTGCTAAGCTCATCAAGGCTACAGAGCAGAAGAAGGACTACCGTTATTAGCTGCAGTTTAAGACAGTGGAGTTAATCTATGAGACGAGGAACTCACTAAAGAGGCAGATGATTATTGCTGTTCTTTATTGTCACAAGTACCTAATTTTTTTATTAAATTTACCAAAGATTGGGAGTCCGCACACATGCTCATGGATCCACACTTCTGTAACATCAACACAAAAGGCTAAATAAGAACCTCCTGGAAAAGCAAAGGATGACCCAATGGGCCCCACTACTGAAAGAACGATAATGCCTGTGGGAAACACGATCTGGAAACTACTAAAAAAATATATAGTGGCTTTCTCTTTTAGGAAACGTATTAAGTTAAGCGGTTAGTTTTTTATTGTTTTATTTTAATATTAAAATGATGACCTGCAAGGGTCTTCTATTAGTGATTGGTTGAAAGGGTCAGATGACAAAACATGGGAGTTTCTGACTCCAGCTTGTTGGTCCGGTGAACCACTGGTCACCTGACTCAAACAGACTCTCCTCCACACTGTCCTCATTCATAAAGTGCTTTAAAAACCCAAACTTTACGGCTAGCAGCTGGACTTTCCCATGTCCATGCCAATAGCCAAATAATAAAGAAAGACTTACTGCTTAAGAGACGGAGTGAAAGCGGACAGCATATCCTTGGTTCCTTAACATAAAACTCATTGTTGCTGCCACGGGCAGCACAAAACTTTAGACGAACTTTCCCCTGAGTTATTAGTTTTGTTACCAGTTAGCTCACATAAACTAATTTAAGTCTAATTTAAGCCACAACCAACCAGCCCGATTATGCCATGTTCTGTACTTGCACAAGATGGCGTTTAAAACTAATCCAACTACACAGAAAGGGCACAATGGTGTAACTTAGCCTTTATCCATGAAGTGTTTCATGTCCACTTTAACATCAGTTTTAATAATATTATTATTATATTAAAACAAATCCCGCATGATTTATGTGTGGTGCATTGCAACACTATGATCGCCTTGATTAGTACCATTAACACTGCCACGGACTACACTACTGCAGCATAGTAAGAGGCCTAAAGTGAAATTTGAACAGACCCCTTCGTTTGTGTGTCATCTGAGGATTGGACAGAAAACAGAAAAGGCCCTTTGTTCCCTCTGTCCACTATCCAGATGTCTTCCTCAGTTCAGCCTGCCCAGGCAAGATGGGAGATATGAGCTATTATGTGAAAAATAGAAAAGAGACTGAACCCTTTAAAGCCTGAAACAAATACGTGTCAGAAAATTTTTGAAAATGCAGTGTTTATTTAACTGTAGTGACAAATTAAAAATAAAAGTCAAGATTCATTTACATGATTTAGGTTTCATTTGTATCATAATTCCTACATCTGCCCCCTGAAAGCTGAAGGCTCTGCCTCCCATTCTAATTTTAAATATCATAGGAACCACAGCCTGCACTCAAATGGTACTATCTCAAATTATAAGACAATCCAAACATTTCTGACAAACTAACACATGCTTGCTGTACTTTATGTGAGCTGATCTTGCTCACAGTTGTGCAGAGTCGCCTTGAAAAGCTGATTCATACTATAATGTGCTTCATTTGCTTTAGTCTTGACTAAACAGTAACATCTTTGTACAGTTGTGATCAGACAGAATAATGGCATTCATTAAGAATGTTGTTTTTCTTTATTACACATAAACACTAGAGCTCTCTCTCTGAGGAGCCCTGTGTCTGCATGCTGCACTCTCTGTAT